GGTGGGGGGGGGGGGGGGGGGGGGGGGGGGGGGGGGGGGGGGGGGGGGGGGGGGGGGGGGGGGGGGGGGGGGGGGGGGGGGGGGGGGGGGGTCCGGTATGAGCGCAGCTGCAGGGTCCTCCGTTCTTCCCCCATTTTCATGGCCCGGGTGTGCCCGGTCGGCCTTCGTTCCCCGGTTATCAGTTTTTCTGTCCTCCACAGGCACCTTTTCCGGAGGAAAAAAACTCGATATGCCTACGTATAGGTATATTCGCTGATAACAACAATAGCTGCCACCAAGCCAAAGAGACAGGCACTGCTAGCTTGTCAAAAATATAATAGTGGGTCTAAATTTTGAGTCCGTCAAGTTTAAGCGCGCCGACCGCTGTAATCCAATCAGCAGTATGAGGAGTTTAATTTGAGTTGAAAACGATGTGGTTCCAATAAACCCTCTCTTATTATTTCGGAGTTATTAAAAAATCAGATGAGGAGCTTCAAAATTTTTAGTCGCACGAACTTCCACCCAATCCACTCTCGGTAGTTACTATGTTCACATTTTATAATGCATTTACACCATGTCATGGTTCCCCCTTCGCCTCATTGCCTCTTGTTCCATCCTCGTCAATCTCTTCCTTTCACTGCATGTCATAGTCATTGTCCGAACATTCAGCGTCTTCTGGATCATCTACGTCATCCCCTTCTTCTTCTTCTTAAAAGTGCGTCATATTGACTATTTTCGCACGAGCCATGGCAATACTCGCATATAAGACTGCAATGAAGGCCTTCCTTCCAAAAACCGCGGGCGCCGCGACTATCTTCAATGCACTTGCACGAGATCTTGCTTAAAATTTCGCCCGTAGCGGGATTTTCCAAAGTAATGATGGAGATGAGGCCATTTCTGCCATTCTACCACCCCCCAGTCACACGCGTATTTCTTGATGATCATCCATTGCTATGTACTTGAGGATAGGAGCCTGAAATGTGGCAGCATCCTCTGAAGATGGAAGACAAGCGAGATTTTGTACATCGTAGAAAAAAGTCCGTACATAGCTTTCATACCGAAATTCAGCCAAAGTTTTTTTTCTACTCACCCTTGTAGCCAAACGATCTGAGTAAAAATTGTTTTCCTGCTTTACAAATTTCTTCTTGCTTTCAGGCTGATTTTTTAAGCATCTGAGTTGGCTGAGTGGTTCTCCAGGGTTGCTAAAAACTTAACTTTGGCTTGTCTGAAGAGTGGTGATATTGTGTCACACCCACTAATGGCATGAATGAACAGCACGTGTTCGGCTTTCACTTCATTTTGAAGGCTGCCTCGGTTGAAAAGTATTTTAAGAGTCTTACCTTTGCCGGATTTTAGAGGGAAAGCATTTTTGACGTTACGTGACTGAGCAGTAAGGAGGACAAGACGATCAATATATTTTCCTACAATGACAACAATTTCGCCCTGTTTTGACGTTTCCATGGCCTTTGAAACTATTTGATTGTGTCAGTGACCTCTTCTGCTTGAAACACAGACATGGTTTCAGCCCTGAAACGTTTCATGAGCCTTTGGATCAAACGGGATTCGTTTTTGTCGCTTTTCAGAAAATTTGCTCGTGATGTTACTGGGACCATATTTTCATGGAATTTTATTTCCACTGATGAAGCTTGTCCTCTTCGCCATCTTCCAGGTCTTTTCGTGCTGTATCTTATAATATCCTTGGGATAGCCGCCGAAAACGATCACAGAATTAGCGGAACATACTTCGATTTTACGTAGGACACGTGGCGTGGTTGTTGCATCTTGATGAAAATGCCTCATTTTGTCTCCAAATCACTCGATGCACTGAGAAAAAACTATGGTTTATAAACCTATTAGAGGTAAATATGGAACACCTATAATAGTCGTAAATAAACTAATGATTCTCGGTCTGTGAACCATACTAAGGTCTCTGTACCTAATTAAGGTACCCCGTACCATAACTAAGGTATATGTGCTATTATTATATGTAGAGGTACTATTAGTGGTGTTCCATATTTACCTCTAATAGGTTTATAAGCCATAGTTTTTTCTCAGTGTGGAGCAAAAAACGGACATCTATGACATAAGTAGGATTCTTGTCGTCAATTTTATCTACACACCGTGTAAATGTAAAAAACATACCATAAAATGTGGAATTCGCATGCCGTCTGCTAAGTTCAACAAAAGGGTAAGGGGTGAGAGTACGACAAAAAATGTTGAGGTTCCTAATCTGATTTTTTATTAGCAGTTATGCCCCGAAATAATAAGAGAGGTTTCATTG